AACAAGGCGGGGTGGAGGCATTACCACCTCTTCACTTGCGCGACCCCCATAGGATAACCGCTGGAATGCTGGCACCCTCTGAGTCTCCCGCCGGCGAGCCCGCTCCTTCAAGACTACTCGCAAATCCTCTGAACGAGCAGAGTAGGAGTACCTTGACGTCGTCGTCGGACGTGAAGGTTGGTAAGTGCTATCTTGCGCGCTAAACTTCTCTACGGGCGCGTCGGAATCTCCAACCTTGTACCTTCTAGTAATTGAGAGGGACGGAGTGTGCCGCTGGCTCTGACTGCCTGAACGACGGGGTTGGGTGCGCTCACTATGGTCTCCCACTCCAGCTACACCCTTCCCTTTGACATGCCGCTTAAGATCCTCCATCTCCACCGCCATTCTTCAGATGACGGCGTCTTGGTCCCTTAGCTTGTCTTCCAGATGTCTGGCATGCGATTCTCTCCGCCGCCGGTGACCGTCTAGACTCCGAGAATGACCAAAGCTTCTTCCGCGCTTATCTCGCGCATCTCTTGAATGTCCTCTTGGAGAAGTTTCCAAGTCCGCCATCGGAGGAATGGCGGGGTGTCCTTCTCTCTGTCTGGCTGACTCCGGGGTAACTCCGTCGATGGCGGACAAAGGAATCTCGTCGTTGTTCACCATGGACGGCGATCAGATGAGTTGGGAAGACAAGGTTTTGTCTATCAAGTTCCCACAGACGACGCCAATTGTACGGGGAGCAAATATTCCGGCGAGCCCGTACTTCTTTCTTCCAAGCTCCCTGTCTGTCCGATCGACCTGCGAACACAACAGCGGTGAGCTACCCGGCGGTGTGTGGCTGGAAAACCCCTCCGACGGTCAAGTTAGCACATACTCAGGGATAGAGAGAGAGGAGAGAGTTGAATGTCTAAGTGTATCTCACCAAATGATCATCTGTCCAAGCATGGGAGGCGCAGACACGCTTATATACCTTCTGCGCCCCAAATCTACTCCCATTAGTCTCTCGACACATGGTGCTGCTATCCTATCTGTCAACACAAATCCAGCAATCACCACCTAACTAAACTGTCAGGATATCTTGGCGGAGCCCGGCAGACCAGCGGAATCACCTCGGCCTCACACGGCCGTACTGCGCCGCATGCCCGAATGCTCACTAGCCGAGCTCCATACCGACCGAGCTCAGTTGCATTCCGGCAGAGCCGAGATCGAAATAGGTCACGCGGGTAAAATAAAGGCCTTCCTGCCGAGCTAAAGGCGCAAGCCTTCCTGCCGAGCAATGCAAGTAACACGGTTCTCACCTGTGCAAGTTCAAGTAGCTCGGTCTTGGGCTTTAGCCGAGCAACCTCATCTCCGGGCAAGCCCAAAGCTATCCTGGCCCAAACGCGCTCGGCCTTCAACTTGCTCGGCCCTTACTATGGCCCATTTCTAGCTCATAAAATCTCCCTATCGAGGTCAAAATTTTGAAGTTTTTTTCTCTTTTTTTTCCAAAAATCAATATATAAAACCATGAATTGCTTGGTATATTTTTCATTTATCCTAGGTATTCATACAATTATAGGGAAGGCTCTAACTGCACTCTAAAATTTTGGTTAGACACCTTAATGCTTTGTACATTCTATTTTGAAATTTAAACTTTACTTCATTATTTTGAATATCTCAAATAATACACATTCTACCTTCAAAAATTCTAAATACATTTTTAGGACATTCCATACAACAAATAGCTCCCAATTCACCTCTGGACAAAAATAAAATCACACATACCCTTAGTACACCCCACTATTGTTCAAACTCTCAAGACAGAGGTTTCAAACGCACAACAACAATAACATTGTCTACCACCACTGTCGCTAGAAAATTATGGAAACACAGAGCCAAACATATATATGAAATACTTATGAACAAGTTTTCAAATAAATGTAATTTGTTTTGTACTGAATTTTCGAACAAAGTTCATAAAATTGACGCCAAAAAACAAAGAATGTGAACAAAAAATATACTTTCTTTATTAGAGGTAGTTTTGAAACGTCTTCTTCATTACCCATTTTTTAGTTCAATATGAAATAGAATGCGAGAAGATGGATTCAAGAGAAGTATGAAGATGTAAGATGAAAAAAGTGAGAGAGTAAGAGAATAGTTATGATTTGCACTAAGACAGTGGTTTCAAACGCACAACAACAATAACATTGTCTACCACCACTGTCGCTAGAAAATTATGGAAACACAGAGCCAAACATATATATGAAATACTTATGAACAAGTTTTCAAATAAATGTAATTTGTTTTGTACTGAATTTTCGAACAAAGTTCATAAAATTGACGCCAAAAAACAAAGAATGTGAACAAAAAATGTACTTTCTTTATTAGAGGCAGTTTTGAAACATCTTCTTCATTACCCATTTTTTAGTTCAATATGAAATAGAATGCGAGAAAGATGGATTCAAGAGAAGTATGAAGATGTAAGATGAAAAAAGTGAGAGAGTAAGAGAATAGTTATGATTTGCACTTTTTTAAAATTTTAAGTACTTTTTGTTTATTTTAAATAGTGACATGATGATAATAATAATAATAATAATAATTCATCAAGTTGAGATGTTCAATCAAAATTTTAGGATGCATTTAAAGCCTCCCAACTATAGTCATATATACCACAAATATAAACAATGTCATAGATGGAAGAAGCGTTGCAGTGCAATATAACTAACTCCTTGCCAATTTACTGTAACTAACTCCTTGCCAATTCAAGTTAACAAGAAGCACGAAGGCAGTGTAATTCGATGAACACAAAAAGTTAAAACATTTTTTGAACTGCCTAACAAAACTAAAAGGAAAATTCTACTTACACAACAACGTTTTAGCTCACTATACCTGTTATTATAATATTTTTATTCTTTTATAGGATTACTATTAAGAACTAAAAAACTTTGGGTAGCATTTGGTAGAGTTTTCTAAATATGGTTTGAGAATATTGTATTTTGAGTTTGTGAGTTTTGGAATTATGATTTGAGTGTGGAAAATTTGTTTGATTATGAGTTTTGAATTGAGTTTTGGAGGAAGTTTTGAGTTTTTTAAATTAGATAAGTTATTTGATTCAAAAATTTACTCATAACCAAACACACAACCCAAAATTCTATTCAAAACTCATATAAAAATTTAAAAATTTTCGCAAAATATTTTTTATTTACAATATAAAAATAACAGGTGCCCAAGAAAAAGGGAAAAAAAATCGAACACTGTTCCGGTCAACCAGTCGGACGTCTGGGAGGATGACTGGGTTAGCCAAATTTTTCCGCCTAGAAAGGAGTTTTAAAAATAGGTGTGAAATTATAATTTGAAAGCTCAAAATAAATACCACACTCAAATGAGTGGGTGGAAATGTACTTGGAACACATAACCAAACACAGCTTCATTTTTCTTATTAGTCTTCCTATTCATATTTCTCTTTATATCCTTTTATCTTTCTTTCACCCATCATTACCACCACCATCATCCCGCTTCTCCTCCAACAACCACCGTCTCCTAGCCACCATCACTTCTCTCCACCAATCACCGCCACCCTTTCTCCCATCTTTCACTCTCTCCGTCCATCTACAAATCCAAATGCACATATACACATATAAATAATAACACACAACAAACAAAAATAAATAAAATTTATATTTAAAATGTATATGGTGGTGTTTGGGAACTTGGGTTTGGAATTATTTTTTGATTTTTTCCACTAAAAGACAAACTTTTTGCAAAACCAAAAAAAACACATCCAAACAAAATATCACATCCAGCCCCATAATCATTTCACTTTTTCTCTCACAAACATCAATCTAACCACAAAAAAACTCACTTCCCAAACACCCACTATATAATTATTATAAATAAATAATATACAAGATTTTTGTGTTTAAAAGATGTTTAGGTTTGAATTTCAAGCATTTTGGTGTAATTTCACGTTGTTTGGAAAAAGTAAGGTCGAAACTTCTTCTAACTCTGATTTACCGAATAAATTGAGATTGTTCGGTCTTCAGTAGCCAACAATTTAAGTTTATATGGATTTATATGGCTGAACATGGTTAATTAATCAATTTTGACCCGTTTGGTGGGATGCAACCAAACAAACTTGATTTGTTTGGCAGTTTTTAACGGAACAAACATAATCTGACCATGTCCCCCGCCAAGCAAATAAAATTTGTTCAACTGTGATTCAGTGAACAAAACACAAACATTGAAAGAAGCTATAGAAGTGGTGGTCACGAGGGAGATTGTAGAGTGATGATTGTGACGATGAAGGGTTGCGAGGTAGTGACCATTGCAGTGGGGTTGCAAGGTAGCGCTTAGAGGTGGTAGTGTTGGCAGTGACAATTGTAGTAATTGAAGATGGAGGAGTTAGGGTTTTATAGATTTTTGGTGTAAGGAGAAGAGAAAAGGCTTTTGAATGAGGCTACAAGTGGAATAAAAGAGTGTAAAGAGATGAAATAAGTTTTTAAAATTTTTGAAAGAAGTGTAATTAGAAAAATAGTGTAATGAAGTAGAATTAGTGTAAATAAAAAAAAAATTACACATCGGTGGTAATTCTATAAAATTATTACATATTCATGAAAAAAATTGTAATTATAATTATTAAAATTTATAAAATTTATCATTTATTTGTAATTAGTTTTTAAAATATCCATTTAACTGAAATTTCTCCAAAATAAAATTACCCAAACTAAAGACTTAGGTGTCTTGTTTTTTTTCCTCTTTTACCCCCTCACAATTTAAAAGCAGAAGTTAACTTTTTATGGGAAATATGTGTTTGAACTATTTTGGAATTTAGAAAAACATTACATAATTTTTTGTTCATACCAAAGGGAGGACTCCTGTTACATTACAAGGTTGCATACCCAAATGGATGTGCAGTTACATGTTTAAATCATAAGGTTGTAAATTAGCAGTTACATTTAAAAATATACATATCAAGTTTAGACTTCACTTTATAATAGTATAAATATAGTTTAGAGATAAAAGTGTCACACCCCATTGGATTTGGACGGTCCAAAGAGCACCATTAGTATTTAGATTTAATAGCAACAGTTCATACATACACATGGGCAGGTCAGCAACTACAAAAATCATGTGTGCCCATCATTGTTGATTGCCAAAGCTAAGCTACACCTCTAAATCAGTGATTGGCATTTCTCCAAACAAGTAATAATAAATACACTAAAAAAAAAGGAGAGAAGAAGAAGAAGAGACTCTTATCAACTTTGCTGCAACTAACATTCTTTTCACCTGCAAGAAATGAACGGCAAACTGTCTACTTGAGAACACATTTGAATACCAGAAGGGGCAACTGGAAAATTTAAGCTAAAACAACATGATGAAGACAACACAAACAACACCGAAATATATGGTTCTTTTTTCAAAAATCAAGAACAATTAGCATATGCATTTCATTTCATTGATGCCAGCAACCTATCACTAACCTCACCGCTATGTTCGAAATGATATTAAAGTAGGGAGTACAAGTAAGATTATTAGAATATGATACTAACATGGGATAAAAGTGAGATAATTATTTTTGTTACCATTGAACGGAGTGTCATGGACAATCCCATGACCATCCGATTTAACAATACTATATTACTAATCCCATTAAGCAACTCCAAGTGCTCTACTTTTTATTAGTTAAAGTATAAAAAAAAAGTACACTCTTTATTTTACCTAATTGCTTTAATTATTGTGTTCTCAAACCATTCAAACTAATCATTCAAACTAACTTAATTAATTTTTAAAACAAAAAATACTAATTGTTGATATTTTACTACTGTAAATTTGCAATAATAATAAATTTGTCAAACCTGTAGAATGAGGAGAGAAAAAAAATACAAAATATAAAATAAGTTATTCCGTAATTCATCAACTACAATTGAAAGAACATGTAAAATTGCTACATACATGTATACATATATAAAATCCCAAATCTAAGACATAAATATACAAAAATTCAAGACATGTACATACATATTTGTTTAGAGAGTCTATGAGGCTCTTTAATTGTAGCTAGCGAAAAGGTAAGATGATACAGTAACTAATCCAATGACTAGGCCGTTGGAACTCAAAATTAGAGTTATATTAGCTAAAATATCTAACAAACTTTTTTTAATTATCCCCTTAAAAATGTGGTACTATATAATATAACTCATCCATTTGTACCAATCAAACACATTACTAGGAGATATTAAGGGACAATAAAAAAAACATACTAAATCCATGCGAATCGCATGCACTGCCAATCTCAATCCTTCTACAATCCTCCCCCACCCCAAAATTCATATCAACTGTCCCTATATAATATAATATTACTCATCCCACTGACACAAGACAATGGTACTATATAATACAACTCATCCATTTGTACCAATCAAACACATTACTAGGAGATATTAAGGGACAATAAAAAAATATACTAAATCCGTGCGGTTCTGCCAATCTCAATCCTCTTACAATCCTCCCCCACCCCAAAATTCATATCAACTCCCTCCTCACCCAAAAAAAGCTCCAACCTCAACTCAATTTATCGAGTGGTATTTTCTTATCATCATCATTCGGGTGGAGTAAGGAATTCGTAAAATTCGTAATTTGATTTGGTCTAGTCCAATCCAGTAGATTTGGATTGATTTTTCCAATCTGCGGTTCGGTTCTGGATTGAAAAATTAAAAATTCGTAGTTCACGGATCGGTTCCGGATTGAATGTGGTTTCGGATTGGGACCAATCCGGACCTATATAAATAACCTATGCACTCTCCCGGCACAGTATCTTCTTTTATTCCATATCTTAAACTCAAATCTAAACCAGTATAATATTTTCTTTTATTGATTTTGTTTGTTAATTTTTAATTTTAATTTGTAATGGTCTAAATATTTATAATGAAACCAGTTTTCTTTTGATTGTTTAAATTTTAGAACAGTAGGTCACTGTTATGGAAATACATGTTACTATTGTGGAACTAATATGATGTTATGTTTATGTTTTTATGAAATTAAAATATTCTATATTTTTTTTTTTTTGTTTAAATATATGAATCCATAATTCTAAACCCGATTCAATCCGTTTTTAAATGGATTGACTCAGATTAGTTCCACGATTTAAACAGATTGGATTAGTTCCAATTTTTCAAAAACTAATTGGTCTTGATCTTGATTTTACTTCAATCCGGACCATACCCAGCCGTACTCTACTCTATATATCAAGGGCGTTAGAAAAATAAGTGCTTTTTATTTATTTTTATTATTATTATTATTATTTAAATCCGTAGTCCTGTCATGTTGCCAATTGAACAAATGACAAGTGATGATAGAGTTACCATTAATTTAAATTGTAGCATAGTGGCCAACACTGAAAATGTGAGAGGAGGGAGACACATGATCGGAAGCCCATGAAATGATCGATATGTTTGAGATACACACTTAGTTTCAGGCCCACAAAGCATTAACCAAGAGCTCAAAAAATTAGAACCAAACAGTTAATATGTTTCCTTTATTAGTCTTATACCAGAAATAATGTTACCTGCATTTGCTCATTCGCCCTCCAAGGATCAAACATGCAAGACATCAAACATGCAAGACATTTCAAAGATCCTTGTTACCCTCTTTAAAACTATTTGCCCTTATGATGTACACCTGGATTACAAGTAAAATGTGTTACTCTGGAACCATGTAGTGTTTTTATTTTATTTATTTATTTATTTTTTTTCAAAGCAAAGCTTCAATCAGAAGTAAGTCAGTTTGAATTCATTACCTTAAATACTGTAGGTCGGATTAGTTGGAATACGATTGCATCACCATCTACCAAACCATGATCAATTGAAAATCCTCTCCATCCACCACTAAGCCCGGCCTTCCTAGCCAAGTATACTGTTGGGTACTCTTCTCCCTCTTCATCTACCAATGTAACAGTTTCATCACGCCTTGGAAGGTTTCTGCGGCAGAAATGAACTGGAAGGCCCTATATTCATTCATAAAGCTTGTGCAAATGATTATTTATTTCTTCAAAACTAAATGAATTACAATCATTAAAAACAAAAACAAAAACAAAATAAAAATAAAAGGAGAAATTGTCTTTGTACATAGGGTCCGAATCCGAACTATTAAAAACAACAGGGGTGGGTGGTGTAACCATTCAAAAGTGAGAAGAATCTTGAGGCTATGCCCTGAGGAAAAAGATACACGCACGAAAAATTCGAACATTTATGAGGAGGAACTTCATTGAATATTTCAGTGATTGTAGTAGTGTTGATGTCATAAATAAACCCTTAGCCACAATATCCAAATAAAGGATTGAATCAAAATATGCATAAATTTTCAGCTTACAAAAATTGATACACTTGTCTAATTTGGTGGAATTGGCCATGCAGTTAACTATAAAAAGATAGAATAAGGCTTTCATGCAATATGGGTGGTTGCAGGAATTTCTGTTGCCCTGCATAGGTTGCAGCATGTGTAGTGAAAACATTTAATTCTTTAGAAACATGTATTCACTTAGGCTTCGTTTGTTTGGCGAATTAGGTTAGATGGAATCACGAGTGTAGTAGGATTAAGTGATAAGATTATTAGTGCGGTGATATTAGTTGGTTGTGATTAAATCTATGAAATTAAGTAAAATTCTTCCTTGTATAAAATGTGACTTGGTTGTTTTTGTAGAGGCAAAATGGTGTTTTTACACCCAATTAGCAATCTCACCCTTCCATGGGAATGCTAATCCCAACATGTGAGAGGATTTATAGTCCTATGAGACTATTTATTTAGGCCTCGTTTGGCAAGAGGCTATTTTAGCCAATTAGTCAAAAAGTTACTAAATTAGCCAAATCTGTGTCCCAAACATACATCGAATTTTCCATAGATGGGAAAGAGAGAAGAGGGGGATGTCTAATCAATGAATAACGCAAGGATGAATTGGAATTCAACATCGGTGTTAATGGGGAGATCTGAGAATTTAACGTTGTTAAACTCCTCTCCAATGTAATCTCATAACAAGAGGCACAAATGCGAGGCCATTTCAAGAACAACAATGCTATATAAACAGAAAAAGCGAACACAAAATTTATTCTATTTGATGTGATTGAGTCGCAGGAATAGCCAAAAAGTTACTAAATTAGCCTATTCCCAAACGAGGCCTTAGTCTCATTCCACTTTTACCAACCAAACATGATTTACGTACTAATCCAATCCCTCATCTATGGAGTCAAACAAGGGCATGTTTGTTTGGGTGGACATGAGATTGGGATTGGACTAATAGTCCAATAAAATTATTAATCTGATGTTTAGTTAAACAATTGAAATACGAACTAATTATTTTAAACTTGACTATTAGTTAAGATAGGATACATAATCCAATGGATTCGTAGTCCTAGGACTATTAGTCATGGGAATGCTAATCCAATCCGCCCAAACAAACATGGCCATAATGTTTTCACATTACAATTTTATTGTAGACATGGTGTTCCCATTGCCCTACATATGTCTCTCATCCTTGTAATTATCAATAACTTAACATGGTTTAGTTGTTGTACTGACTTTATTTTATATTGAAACATAATGACACAGAAATCCCCAACCTTCCTTCTGTTTTGTTGTGTTTGTTTGCTTTTAACTACCCAGCTCTTCTTTTAACAATGTGACTGAGTGTTGAGAAAATTAGTGTGTTCTTTTTCCACCCAAATTCAACCTGATTGTTTCAAGTTTGAATTAATCCAGTTCTTGATAGTATTAAAAGGCAAGTTGGTCAATAATTTATCGATGGAATGGCATTCTTAACTGGCTTGGTTAGGCAGGTGAATGAATGACGCTTTGTCTTTTGACACACCTACTATTTAATACTTTTCTGTGGCTCATTTACACATTAATCCTTACCAAACTATCCATTTAATAGACCTAGTTTGGACTTCTAAACTAGGGCCGGCCTGCGATTTGTGAGGCTTAAGGGGAACTATGAAAATGGAGTCCCTCTAATATATATTTTTTTTAATAAAAAATTTATACATGAAATGATAAGTATCACCAAATTTTTTATTTAAGTTTACTTGCACATTTAATCATTAAAATTATAAACTAAAATTTACTTTCATATATTAAGGTAAGAATAAATCAGTACAATAACTCAAAAATATTAAAAACTGGTTGTTTCATAGGAAACATGCCTATAATCATATTTCAATTCACAAATCACAATCCACTAGCAAAGAAATTATAAAAAAAAAATAATTTAATGAAACAAAATTAGGGCAAAAAAATTAGGAAAAAATTATTCAATTAAAACTGATAAAGACCTAGCTAAAAAAATTAGGAAAAATTATTTATTCCACTAAAATCTGATAGATAAAGAAGGTAAAAAAAAATTACAACAAAATTATTTATTCCACTAAAACTTATAGATAAAGAAAGTAAAAAAAAATAAAATTTGGACAAATTTATTATTTCACTAACTGATAAAAAAAGAAGATAGAAAAAAAATTAGGACAATTTTATTTAATCAAATTTGATAGTGAGAGAGAGAGGTCTTACTATGAGAGAGAAAATAGTAGTTGTAGTATGATTTGAGAGAGAAAGAGTCGCCGACTCGCCGTTGCTCAGTGCTCTCTGCCCTGCTTTATCCTTGGTATGCTTGGAAAATGCTTCCTTCGTCACTTCGTGAGAGAGAGAGATTGAGAATACTAAGTAGATGTATCATGTATGTATTGTTCTTTTTGGGCTCCAAATACTTTTTTGTATATATTTTAATTTTAATAAATATGGACCCAATGGAATATTTTGGAACCTTTTAAATTGACCCTAAAAATAAAAATAAAAAATTGGACGGATAACACTTTACTAAATTTTGGAGACCTAGTTTGGACCAATGGTTTGGGGCATAAGGCACAGGCCCTTAGGCCAGGGCCGGTCTTGTTCTATACCAAAGTAAACTTTGTGTCCCAATCAAGGTCGGTTGCATGAATATTTTTTTGGCATTCAGCTCCAAATCCTGAACAAATTATACCTCAATTTTCTGGAAGACTGGAGACTGAAGGGGCTCAAGTTTAGAGAACATGTTGACCAATTACCATTTCTTTTCATACGGAAACTTATGTCGTGTTGGTTCATTAGCTCACCTTAAAAAAAAAAAAAAAATACCCCGAGCTTTCTATTGTGAGTGCGTCTCGAATTCAATCTGAATTATGCTTGTTACCCGTTCACTGGCCGATTAATAGGTCCTCGTCTATTTTAAACAGCTTACAACTTATGAATCCATGTATATACTGGGTTATTTCAAAGTTTAAAGTTGTGATGATATTTTGAGAGCTTCTGTTCATCATGGTTGTTGAGAGAACCGGCTCACTGTAATAATGAAAGTCCTTTGCCGGTGGATATACACTTATATGCTTGTATGTTTGTTCGATTTTAACTTTTCTCATCTTCACCTCTTGCAACCTAAACCTTACCCTGCCCACCTCCTGTGATAGGGCTGCCTAAAAACTGACCTCCATGGATAAAAGCTTGTTCATTGAAACAGTATACAAATTGCAAAAACAGATTTATGTATAAAATAGTAGTAGTACAACAGAGAATTACAGACTTTTGCTTACATCAAACCAATAGAACAACAAGCATTCTCATACATATGTAACTTAATAGACCACACACCACACACATTCGAAAGGTGAAAATACTAATGGTTTGATGCTAACAATGTCTGTGATTTCTTCTCGTACTGAAACCCTTTCGACATAGAATCATCTGCAGACCAAACAAAGATACCGTGAAGCTGTTTCTGGCTTCTGAGCTTCCCACAAGCAGTGAAGAACCCAGTTTCCGGAGACAACCCGCCGCTTCCATCGGTGCTGAAACTAGCCAAGACCTTACCTCCATTGTAATTCGAGCTCTGAGTCTGAAAATAATTCATGAACTGTGAAACAGTGGTCCCCTGATCATAAGCATAGAATTGGAAATTCACATAGTCTATGACATGTCCATAGCTCTTCCACAGAGCCAAGTAATGGCTCTGAACCTGATCATCATCAAACGGAGCAATCGAAGCGAAAGAGATGACACCATTTTGCTTCAGGGTTGTGATAAGCTTTCCAATGCACTGGGCAAAGGTCTCAGGATCGGATTTGAAGTGCTCGTAATCGATGTCGATCCCATCAAGGCCATACTGTTCGATGATATGCGTGAGAGAAGAAACAGCGCTTGAAACCCATGAATCGACTGAGGAAGGGTTGAAGTAAGCAGAGCCACTTCCCACACTGTCGCCTCCTAAGCTCAGTGCCACTTTAACATTTGAATGTTGAGATTTGATGGATGAGACTTGAGATGGGCTGAGATTGTCCGCATCCCAAAAAACGTTGAATTGACCGTTGGTGGGAGACGAGGAAGAGGAGGTGGTGTAGTCGATGGCAAAGGCAAGGATGAAGTGGAATTCGACATTGGAGTTAATGGGTACGTCGGAGAATTTAATGTTGTTGAACTCCGCGCCTATGTATTCACGGAAGAGGTCGGAGTTGGCGGCTTGGGTTGAGGGGAGGAGGATGAGGAGGAGGGTGATGAGAAGTTTCGAGAGCTCCATTGTTGTTCAAAGAGTAGGTCGTTGTAGTGTGTGAAGATGTGTTTGGTTTGGGCATGTAATGGCATAGGAAGAGAAGCATTTATATAGTAGTTGTAGTATGATTTGAATGAAGATGTGGGCATGTAACTGAGGACATGACAATCAAGGAAAAGGAATGAGTGTTTGTGTGCCGTTGGGGTTGATTTGCCTCTTTGCATTGCCATGTCGAAAGCTGTTTTGTTTTTTCCCTGCTTCAAATTTGATCAATATTTTGTATAAATAAAATTGGAAAATATTACGGAATTCAAAAAATATTATTAAAAAAATTGTCAAAAATAAAGTGCGTGGACTAAATTATATTTATTCTGTTGCGTTCGAATTTATACTATCTTATTTTTAGGTAAATTTTTGAACTATTTTTTCAAACTTCTTAATTTTTTTCCAAATAAATTTGACATTGGCTCCGATGCAATGGAGTTATTTATAGACATGTTTGAAAATTTATTTTATGAGGAAAAAAAAACCATAAAAAGTAATACAGAATGTGTCCAAAAATAAAATGTATAATATGTATTTAAATTTTTTGTGGTGCTAGTTACATGGAATGAATCTGGTCTACTAACATAATTTTTTGGTAACCTTTTTGAATTCATTTCTAACAGAAAAATTGATGTTGATGTGGGAGGGGAATCAACCTACAAGTAAGAAGACAACAAAAAAATCCTAATATTTATTTGTATAATGTTGTGTCATGTTGTTCTGCCCACGGACCTGTTTATACAGAGATTAAATGTATGAACATATTTTTATTTTTCCCTTTTTAATTTTATTATTATTATTATTATTATTATTACTATTATTATTTTTAAAATCCTATGAAGGGTAGTAGGTAAAGTGGAGGTGGTAGGTGGAGTGGGTGAGGAGTAGTGGAGGTGTGTAGTGGTAGTGGTAGGTTTTAGTGGTGTAGGAGGTGTAGTGGGTTAGGTTAGTGGGTTAGGCTTAGTGTACATTAACATATATATATATATTGGTTACAATTAGACTCGGATATTTGGTTTTAAAAAAAGAAAGGTAAATTATAAATACACTTTCAAGATTTGTTTAAAATACGAATTGTCTCATGTGATTATGAAAATTACATCATGCCCATTCAAGTTTCTAATCGCATAACAAATAATAAATCACCAAATCAATTAATAATTTTTAATGATTAGAAATATATTAAAATTAATAATTCAAATAATTTTATTGTTGTATAGGAGAATAGTTAGGAAATTTAATTTTTTTCATAAATTATGTTAGATAAAAAATTCTAATAAATGGATATTTGTAATTTTCAAAACTACAAGGTAATTTATATTTAAGTAAACTTCAAGAGATATATTTGTAATTTATCTATATATATATATAAGGTTGTAAAATTATATAATGCTATATCGAATTGGGGAAACAAATGGGCCAAAATTTGGACAGCCAGTTTACTACAAAAAAAATAGCAATAATACAAACTCAAAAAATTTATTTAGAAATTACTCAAAAACATCAATATGTAGTTAAAATTCATTTTACACATAAATCAACAATACACATTTTCATTCTTGTCACAAATCTGACACTTTAAATTTGGATCCTAGACTGTTAATCAAAAAATAATTTTGGATTGAACACCAAATGAGTGGTCCTCTCTCATTTTTAGCAGTTTCCCAGGTAGTATAGTATAGTGGACAAATGAGTCATCCTCTCAAAGAATGTTTTTTATTTATTTATTTTTTTGGTTAAGGTACGTACTTGCGTGCACGTCAATTTAAGCAAAAATGTTTTGAAAAATGCTTGGGAGCACTAATTAGTGCTCCCACTAATTAGGTGGCAGTGGGTCCTATCATTAATGATGTGATGTTTTGGTCTTAGAATTGTATTTTTTTTTTTTTACTTTTTTAATGCATTAGTGCTATTAGTGGTGATGTTTTTAGTGGGATGAATCATTGTTGAAATGTTTTTTCCAAGTTAGCATGATCTGGTGAGACGTACGTGATCACTAATCTAAGTGTTATTAAGGAAAAAAAAAGGCTTCTAATCCATAAGTTTTGTAAGGAGTTTTAATATTTTAATTTCCATGTTTTAATTTTTTGATTTTTTTTTTATAAAAAAACTCAACATTTATTTAATTCTTCAAAGTCTTTTTAACTTTTTCCATATATACACTCTTTTTAACTTTTTCAAATACTTATTACAGCCTTCCTCACTTCTATCATACTTATTGGACCTTTTCAATTTCTTCACTTCATTTCCACCGACAGCACTTCTTCACTTCCAACTTCTCCCTTACAAACACTAAGCAATACCCTTTCTCACGTATGCAAACTTTCAACTTATGCCTTGCAAACAGTGAGCAATAACCTTTCCCACCTATGTAAATAGTGAGTAATTTCTCCTTTTGTGTTCTTTTTAATTACTGTTTTTTTTTTACAATTTTTTTTTTATTTTATGCTTTCTCCTTTTGTGATTTGTAAAATCCACCTCTTAGCACACCTAAAACATTGCGCCTGCCCACCTTCCTGTGATAGGGCTGCCTAAAACTGACCCTCCTGGATAAAAAGCTTGTTTCATTGAAACAGTGTAACAAATTGCAAAAAGATTTATGTATAAATAGTAAGTAGTATAAAGAGAATATTAGACTTTTTACATCAACCATATAGAACAAGCAGATCTCATACATTATGTAATTAATAGACCACACACCACACACATTCAAAAGGTGAAAATAACTAATGGTTGATGCTAACAATGGTTGTGATTTCTTCTCGACTGAAACCCTTTCGACATAGACATCTGCAGACCAAAACAAGAGTACCGTGAAGCTGTTCTGGCTTACTGAGGTTCCCACAAGCATGAAGACAACCAGTTTTCCGGAGAGGACAACCCGCCGCTGTCCAATCGGGTGCTTGAAACTAGCCCAAGACCTTACCTGTCCATTGTAATTCGAGCTCTGAGTCGAAAATAATTCATGAATGCATGTGAAACAGTGGCCCCTGATCAATAAGCATAGAATTGGAATTCACATTAGTCTTGACATGTCCATATGCTCTTCCACAGAGCCAGTTAATGGTCGTGAACCTGATCATCATCAACGGAGCAATCAGAAGCGAAAGAGAGACACCATTTTGCTTCAGGGTTTGTGATAAGTTTCAATGCACTGGGCAAGGTCTCAGGATCGGATTTGAATGCTCGTAATCGGATGTCGATCCCATCAAGGCCATATGTTTCGATGATATGCGTGAAGAGAAAACAGCGCTTGAAACCCAGTGAATCGACTGAGAAGGGGTTGAAATAAGCAGAGCACTCCCACACTGTCGCCTCCTAAACTCAGTGCCACTTTAACATTTGAATGTTGAGATTTGATGGAGGAACTTGAGATGGCTGAAAGTGTCGCAATCCCAAAAAACGTTTGAAGTTGACCGTTGTGGGAGACGAGGAAGAGGAGGTGGCTGTTAGTCGATGCAAAGGCAAAGGATGAAGTGGAATTCGGACATTGGAGTTAATGGTACGTCGGAGAATTAATGGTTTGTTGAAAACTCGCGAGCCTATGTATTCAGGAATGAGGTCGGAGTTGGCGGCGTTGCGGGTTGAGGGGAGGAGAGTGAGGAGGAGGGTGATGAGAAGTTTCGAGAGCTCCATTGTTGTCAAAGAGTAGGTCGTTGGGTAGTGTGAAGAATGTGTTTGGGATGGGAAAGAGAGAGAGGGGGATGTCTTAATCAATGAATAACGCAAGGAGTTGAATTGGAATTCAACATCGGTGTAATGGGGAGATCTTGAGAATTTAACGTATGTTAAAACTCCTCTCCAATGTAATCTCATAACAAGAGGCACAAATGGCGAGGCCATTTCAAGAACAACAATGCTATTATAACAGAAAAAGCGAACAACAAAATTTATTCTATTTGATGTGATTGAGTCGCAGGCCGTGATGGCATTATGTAAATAAATGTTTTCACATTACAATTTTATTGCAGACATGGTGTTCCAATGCCGCTACTATGTCTCTCCATCCTACTGTAATTATCAATAACTTAACATGGTTTAGTTGTTGTGTACTGACTTTTTATATTGAAACATAATGGACACAGAAATCCCCAACCTCCTTCTGTTTTGTTGTGTTTGTGCTTTTAAACTACCCAGCTCTCTTTTAACAATGTGACTGAGTGTTGAGAAATTAGTGTGTTCTTTTTCCACCCAATCAACCTTGATTGGTTTCAAGTTTGAATTAATGCCAGTTCTGATAGTATTAAAGGCAAGTTGGTAATAAATTTATCGATGGGAATGACATTCTTAACTGGCTTGGTTAGGCGGTGAATGAATGGACGCTTTGTCTTTTGACACACCTTACTATTTCAATTAACTTTTCAGTGGCTCATTTTACACCATTAATCCTTACCAAACTATCCATTTAATAGACCTAGTTTGGACTTCTAACCTAGGGCCGGCCCTTGCGATTTGTGAAGCTAGGCGAACTATGAAAATGGGGTTCCTCTAATATATATTTTTTTTTAATAAAAAATTTATACATAACAATGATAAGTTCATCAACAAATTTTTATTTTTAAGGTGGGGTGGTGTTTACTTTACACATTTGATCATTAAAATTATAAACCAAAAATTTACTTTCATTAATTAAGGTAAGAATAATCAGTTACAATGACTCAAAATATTAAAAACTGGTTCATTTCATAGGAAACATGCTATAATCATATTTCAATTCACAAATCACAATCCACTAGCAAAAGAAATTATTAAAAAAAAAATAAATATATGAAAACAAAATTAGGGCAAAAATTAGGAAAAAATTATTCAATTAAAACTGATAAAGACCTAGCTAAAAAAATATTAGGAAAAATTATTTATTCCACCTAAAATCTGATAAGATAAAGAAGGTAAAAAAAAATTAGGACAAAATATTTATTCCCACAAAACTATAGATAAAGAGGTAAAAAAAAAAAATTAGAAAACAAATTATTATTTCACTAAGATGATAAAGAAAAGAAGGTAGAAAAAAAATTAGGACAACTTTATTTAATCAAATTTGATAGGTAGAGAGAGAGGTCTTACTATGAGAGAGAAAGAGTGTTGTGCGCAGTGTGTGAGAGAGAGAGAGAAGAGGAGAGTCGCCGACTCGCCGTTGCTTAGTGCTCTCTACCCTGCTTATCCTTGGTTGCTTGAAAAGATTCCTTCATCACTTCGTGA